GCCCCCGCAGCTGGATCCCGACAGCCTCAAACGGCAGCAGCGCTGGTGCTCATGTTGCTCCCGTTGGTTTATTTTCATGTGGATCTGTCTGTCCGGCTTTACAATGAGATTATGAGCTTGGGGAACTGGGAATTTGCTCTGTGTTTGGCTGTGTCAAGCACAGGGGATGCCTGGCCCGCGACCGCTTCTCCCCGAGAGCATCAACCCGTAGCAGAGCCACTGCTGCAATTAATGCTGCGAAAAAAGAACATTGAGATTAATGGGTTAAGGTGCAAATTTGTTTGTAACGTATTCTTCGGATGCTCGGGATGGAAAAGCTAAAGAGCTGTGTTTAAGCTTATTAACTGAAGTGCGTAGCCGGGATGCGCTGACGCTTTGAGGGAGTTGTGCATCGCTGGGATGTGCCGTCCTGGAGAAGGTGAGCGGGAGCTTTAAGGGATCTGGCTGCTCCCGGATCCCGGTGCTGCAAAGAAGAAGAACTCACGCACGAGGGAGACGGCACCAGCGCGTCCTTCTGCCGGCTAATCCTCCCAAATAACGGGCTCGGAGCTGACAGATGAACCTATTTTGCTGAAGCAGGAGGAGGATCCCGCAGCGCAATTAAAGGATTAGAGCTGAAAGCCAGTGCGGTGCCTCTAAGTGCATCAGGTTTTTAAGAGTAGGAAAAGAAAAGCCGCTTCTCGTGCTGTGGTACCCGCCAGCTCTCCCGGGTTTGGGTGCATGGGAAGCTCTTCCATCCCTCGAAGGGATTTGGGTGTCTGCCTTGGGAAGGTGCCGCTCCTTCAGGATTTAACCATGGTGGTGCTGGGCGGGAGGCAGGCATCGCTTCTCAGAGGCGGTTCGGATGGGATGAACTCTGGTTTCTGCTTGAAACGAGGGAAACTGAGGCCCGCGGGGAGGGGGTGAGCTGCCCGAGGGGGTCCGTAGCAGGATGTCACGTACGTAGGGCTGAAGTCAGACCGTTGCTTGAGCATCCAAAACCTGTACGTGCGTGCTCGAAACGGGGCACGCGCTGCCTGTGCTTTTGGGGGCTGTGCCAGCAGAGACGAAGACTCGACCTTTTCCAGTTGATTTATTTTCTAAAGAGAAAAGAGCCGCTGGGTGAGAGGGAAAGGTTACCCGATAAATCAGTGGGGGAAGCTGGCGGCCACCTCTGCAAGAGCAAGCGTTGAGCAGATGCTCTTCCAAGCTCGCTCTTCTCGGAGCGGCTTTAGGAGCGATGCATGGGATGAAGGACAAAGTCAGGAAGGAGAAACACTCAAAATGAGCTTGAAGACGGATAAAATCCTGGGAGGACGCAGGGGTGAAGGGTTTCAAGTGACACATCTCTACGTTTTGCAAACGGGATTTGATGCTGAGTAATAAACCTCGTATCCGATGTGCTGTGAAACAGCAAATGCAATTTAGCTTTCACTTGCAGACAAGTCGGGGGACCGGCTCCCTTGGTGCTGGGACAATCAGAAACAAAGACCGGTGTCAAGAGAGATGAGCAGTAAACCTCCAGCAGTCCTAGAAACCTTCAGCAGCCTTAGGAACCTCTTGGCTTCCACCTTCGGCACGCACACCGCTGCGCTCGACAGATAGTTATCCCGAGAAAACATCTCTTGCCCTCTGTGACCGCACTGACCTAGGCTGGGCCGAGCTCTTTCATCAGCCTGGTATATTGATACACATAGACGTTTGATTGATAAACACGTATTTATTGACGCACGTGAGGGTTTCCAGGTCCTCCGGGAGTCACCGTGGGTCGAGGAGCCTTTTCCCTTATCCTGATGTGCAGTGAAGCTCACGACGTGCTGCCATCCCTCTTAAAATCGGCTCGGGCAATTTTCTTCCTCCAGCACCGCACACGTGTTTGGGTCTCAGGGTTTTTCTGAGCATCCCCTTGGTTTCCTGGCAAACCCCAGGATTGTTGCTCCTGCCGTGCGGGGAAGCGCAGTCTGCGAGGATGGGGCTGTGTCGCCCTGGACCACGCACGTTGTTCCCGAATCGCTGGCCGCATCCCAGCCCCGGCAGCTTTCTTTACGCTAACAACAGTTATACAGAAAGAACACGGCTTAATTTTCAGCTGCTAGGTTGAATTTTTGGTTCTGGTACCTGGGAAAACCTTGTAAATGGAGTAAAATTAATAGAGGGCCAAATTTCAAGTCATTTTCTGGCTAGTCACAGAGAGTCTTTTTCATTTTTAATCAAAACCTGCATCGCAGCCATCCATGTGAGCGTGGACCGAGGATGCTTCAGGACTCCTGTGCCGGCTGATAATTTCCTCTGCCGGCGCCAAGGGGCACTGACGTGCTGTGGGTAACACGCTGTCCCTCCGGCTGTCCCCAGGAGCTTTGCCTTTTCGCATTTTAGAGCAAAACAGCGCTGAGGCAAAAAACATTTGCAATCTGAGTCGTTACTGCTTTCCCCTTGCGAAGTGATGCCCGATCAATGAAGCAGGTATCCTCTCCGTCAAGATTTAGCTCCCACTTGCCTCTTTCTGCTCTTATTCCACCCAAAACGTGATTAAACAGTAATTCATCCCCTTTTTGCTAACACATCTATAGACCCAGACGTGCCCGGCTGGGGCTTGCCCTGCCAGCATCCCGAGTCGCTCCCAGCCGTGAGGGTTTATTTTCAACTGCATCCTGCGGTGACGGGGATGCTGCTGTCCCCATCCTTCCTGGATCACATCCGGAGAGGCTAAGGGACTCTCCCAGCTGTCCCAGGGGAAATCGGACATGGATATGGAGGAGCAAAACCAAACAGCGGCATCGTGGCTCACTTGCCCGTGATCGCTGGCTTTATCACATCCCACTTGCCACCCGCCTTTCGCTGCTGGATTTATCCCGAATTCCTCAGGGTAGCTGCGCGACGTGGCTAGCACTTTTCGGGGGAGTGTGAGATAAATAACAGGGCCTTTTCTCTGGGGTTTTTTGGGTGGGGTTTTTTCCCAAAGGGATTATTCAGCAATACAGCATGAGAGTTTCTGGGGCTGGGCTGGGGCTGGGCTCCTCCACCTGCTCCGGGTCGGATGCTTTCCTCCCGTCCCCAACCCCGCTGGCATCCGAGATGCTCCCTGCACATCAGTGGTAGGAGCTTCTTTTTTTTTTTTTTTTCTTTTCTCCAGCAGGTTTCCTTTGGCATCGCCCATTCTCGGTGAATTCCTCCCGGCAGTTATTTCTTAAAGTGTTGTCCGAGAAGTTCCAGATCAAATACTGCAGCTTGTGCTAAACTGGATATAGCGTTTCCTTCTCAAAATGTTGATTTTGGATGCCTCCTTCTGCAGGCTTCTGCTTAAGATGGGTTTTTCCTTCCTGCTAGCGTTAGATCATGATCTGTTTAGTGCCTTTATTTTATAATAATTAATAAATAAGTAGAAATTACATTATATCTTCATGGGACTGAGGATTGAAATGAAAATGCTGGAGTCTTTTGGTGTACATCATTCATTGCCCGTATGACAAGCGGTCAATATTTTTTTTATTTATTAGTAGTAATTCAGTAGTAAAACAACGGTTCTTTTGGCTGATACATCCCTTTTCTTTTGCTACAGAGAAAGCAGCTGATGATGAAGTCCAGAAGTCCGACATCTCGTCCAGCAGCCAAGGGGTGATTGAGAAGGAGTCTCTGGGACCTCTTCTTCTGGAGGTAGGTGCTAGAATGCTGTCGCTGATGCCGCCAGGCTCCCGCTACTGCCCAAAGCAAAGCAGAGCATCGAGAAAGTGAAATACAGAGGAGGAAGGCAACGGGGACGTAGTTGGGATGCTCTAAGCCCAGCCGCATCCCTGGCTTAAGTTGCAGATAAACTGATTTTAGTCCGTTTGCTTCAGTAAATCATTTGGGAAGTGAGTTTTAACCAAGCTCGATGAAGCTTGGACTGGGTTAAGTCGAAGCTGTTCTGGATAGGTTCTTAATATCAGCATTAAAATAACGAGTTGTTTCTAAGTGCGGATTAAACTGAGCCCCCCGTCCTCATGCGGAGGGACAGATGTGAATCCTTCTGTCCTCTGGAAAACAGGGAGGATGAGGAGGGCGCTCCGCATTTGGCTTGATATCAGTAAATCAGAAATAATCATATCTCAGGAGGAAGGTCAGAGTTGGACCTGACGGGACCATCTTATATGTATAATAACCTCCTGGTTATTCTATAATGGTTATTATATTATATCACAAGCCTCAGAGATAAACTTCAAATCCTAAATCGTTCAGCTGGTAATTTCACAGGGGGTGGTTGCGGTTGGGGCTGGGGGGGGTTCAGCACCGGGGGGGGGGGGGTTCAGCATCATCCCGCAGCTGCCTCTTGCATTGAAACCGCCCGATAAAATGACACATTCAAAGACCGAAAGGAAGCAACATCGTCATCTGATTCATTTAATTAATTGTAAGAGCATAATTGCTGACATGACACAGTCCAACGATTTACTCTGTGGTTTCTGTTGGGAGCCCAACAGCTGGGAGGTGAAACGTGGCATCATTTCTGAGACAGCCAGCCTGGCTTTCAGGATACCCGGGGAGAGAGAGACTCCCCATCCACTCACGTTTTTGGCCTCTTCTGCATCTCCGAAAGATGCTCGGAGGCCGTGGGGAGCTCTCCTGTTTTTTTTCTGCTTAATCCCTCCCCGTCTCCCCTGAGCCCTGGAGTGAAGGCGTCAAAATTAATAAAACTCTGCAAGAGGTGACTCTGCAGCTGGAGGAGTTAATGACGAAGGGATGGGAAGGGGGTCGGCGTCAAAGGAAGGGTCTGACTTGAGGAAAGGATGGAAAGGGGGTGCTGGAAGCTCGTGGATGCAGTTAGTAGGGAGTTGGCAGCTTGGTTACAGGGGTGCTTGGTATAACGGGGGCAAAAATGCAGAAGGAGCTTAGAAATCAGGCTGGGAAAGGCACGTGGGTTTTGAGGAGTGTGTTGGGTGCTAGAATCAGGGATGGGAATAGAAAGTGATGCGGGAGAAGGCGGCAGATCCTCAGCAAACCCCCGGTATTTGGGTTATATTGGGAGAAGGCATCCTACGAGAGCGGTGGCAGAGCCAAGAAAACCGTGAGAGAGAGCAGTGTCCGTACCTCCACGGTAAAGCCACGTATTTCGCAGTGCCGTCATGGGAACGTGCCTTTACATCGCTTAAGTGATGACTGTGGCGCCAGCTGGCTCGCCAGAGCATCGTTCAGCCGGGGTCCATCCCCTCGTGGCCGTGGCCGTGGCCGTGTCCACACGTGGGGGTACGCGGTTTGTGGCCGGGAGCCCTGGAGGTAGCCGGCACCTTGGGTGATGGGGAGCAGAGTCCCTCGGGGCAAAGTAGGAGTAGCAGCACATTGGTAATAGAAACGGCCCTGGAAGACCTAAGGTCGTCATAAAGAAAAGGAAATTAATTAAATCAGCTAGCTCATGAGGAAAAATTACCCCGTGTGCTTGGGCCGGGTATCGATGTGTCCTTTCCGTGGGAAGGAACGCAGAGGTGCACTACTGCTCGGTCGATGCTGCTTTGTAAACAACCTACCCTGCGTTATTTGATTTAAAATCCATGTTTAGGTTACGGTTATTATCTATACAGGCTGAGTAATCATCTCCTAATTGGTGTCCTCGTGCGGGAAGCCCGCGCTTGAGATGCTGACCCCGATCCGTGCCCGTGCTATGAGGCATCCGTGGCTGCACGAAGCACTTTGA